TCAGAAACCGACATATTTGAATGCATAGTGTCAGTACTTGCGAGTAGATTTTAAAAAAGTCACGGAAATCGAGTCTCCCGCCGATTGTGTAAAATGTTCAGTCATCAGTCACGTAGCAACAAAAAACATGAACAGTGCGGAAATGCATTGCCTGATATGTATAGAATAGAATGACAATGAAACGGATGACACTAGTGAGGGAAAATGGGTGAAACTGATTAAGGAAAGTCGAGAAAACGCACATGACGGTTCTGGATGACTAATTGAAACCACTTAAGACAGGATTTTCAGAATTTGCAGCGTCTGAAAATATTATGCAACATACGGTAGCAAATAACCAAACACGGACGATTAAGGGTAAAACTCAATTAACCCTGAAACCCTAACCGGAGGTTGGCCACTCCATTAGATTTTTTTAAATTCTCTTCAATGATTAGCAACCGTGAGTCGAGCTTTTACGTACTTGTCTTTGCGGGTGTGCTTGTTGTTGTTGTTTTGTTTTGTGTTAAAGAAAACTGTGAAATTTACATTTTTTGTTGGTGTGGCGTACTACCCTTATGTACAGTTAGTGTAATATTTTAATTGATGACATTTTCGTTTTTTTGGGGGCGGGGGTAGGTAAGCACTTACCTTTCTGACTACAAGAGAAATATAAAATGATCTATTTCTTCTAGAGGCTGTCGACGCTGGTAAAGATTTCAAAGCGAAGAAATTACCTCAGACGAATGGTCGGACGAGCAGGCAGACAGATTGATGTAGTTCCATCAATCGATTTTTCGGTATCAAGGACCGAAAAACATTGTTTCTGACTACACAACGCGTTAGAGGAAGTATTGAGTATATACGTAGGAACAAGATGTATCCACTATTTAATTTCCAGGACTCGGCAATAAGATTGTTTCTGTCAAAAATTCACCGTTTTTCGGCACGATGACAATTCTTTCTCTTCTTACGAAGTAAGGGCGAGAAAGTAATAATTATGTAGTTTTGAATTACATGAAGATCACAGAAAAATGCGGGGGACATAGTTTTCTCCGTCAAACTCAGAGCAGTCCGCAAGGATCTGGACACTAAAAAGCTCGTACTCTGCAATTTAACGAGACCCGTGGCTGTTATCCTGTCACGGAGAACGCAGAGCGTTAGTTTCTTAAATTTTTATTAGGTGAATCATGATTGTATAAGTATTAAAATTAATTACGATTTTTATTTTGATTTATAAAAGCAAATGCGTTTGCTGAACTCTATTCGCAGCATTATCATGAAGTTTGCTTATTTCTGCCACCTTTTCTCGTCCCTCTTCTCTCTGAGATCTTGTCATTGATCAGTGCTCGCAAGCAGAACGCAAGTCATTTGTATGCTTTCTTGACAGCCCCTTTCCTTCCCCAGGCCTTTCGAATGCTTGACTAATACTCTGAACCCTCTCAACGAGAAAACGTATGTCTCTACAAACACGCTCTATTACTGCTATTTAAATTGAAAATTC